CAACAGCAGCTGACAAAGCATAGGTTTTTTACTTAATGGTACATGAAGTTTAAAGTAATTTCAGATCTAGCCATAAAATACTTGATGAGTTTGAGATTTTTTGTCTTTAAAACATTATTGTAGGTGTGACCATCAATAAACTTGCAGTGTTTATTTAAGAGCAACTTTGTATCTTACCTTTCAAAAGCAATATTTTTAGTATCAAGGCACGTATTAATAATTGGAGAGGTAAGGCGTCTTTCCACATCTTTCCTTTTTGGGGTCATAGATCCCAGAGTCAAACGCTTCATGTGTTGGGAAATCTCAAAGCGCTCAGTTGTAACGAAACTTATCATCATGATTTATCTCAATCAGTTCTGCCCAACCTCCGGTATCTGTTGGAACATTACATCTCATTTTAAAAGAAAAAAAAACACACCTTCCTAACAGCAATCCACATTGAAAAAAAACTGAGCACATACTGTACAGCAAATCACAACAGTTGCTAATTCACTGATTTGTGATAATTGGGGGCAGATGAAAAGCTAATAAGAAATTGAAGTAAACTTTTAGCCCTATTACCAAATGTTGACCTCAAATTTACTCAAAAACCCACAAACAATCAAAAACCCAAGCCATTACATTAAAGCACAAAAACACTATCTTCAAGATACGAATGGAATATACATACAAATCTTTCCTAAAATTCAGTGCTCAGCCTCAACAGGTCTTTTTAAGCAAAATTGGGGTTTCTCATTGTGGTTCACACAGTATTTGGTGATCAACGGAGCAGACACACTAAAACATTTACCTTCGCCCTTGAAAATTAAACTACGCCTTCCCCTCTCCCAGCTCATATTTTCAAATCCCAGCAACGTGATATCAACTCGCAACTTGGCACCACTTTTCCAGATGCGACAGACATCGCTTGGACAAACCCTAGAAACCAGTGGAACTACAAGAGAAAACAAGGAACACGTAAATATAAAATATTCAAGACACGGAGCACACAAGAAGCCTGAACTGAAGCAGAAACCATACCCCTGATATACGAATTGCTCAGTACTGCGAGCATCATCCCACAGGAAGCAAGCAAGACTGTTCTCAAAGCTAGACAGGGTCACTACCAGCTTGGGGACAAAGCCCATCGATTCCAATTTAAAGATTAACATGAAAAGGAATGAAGCATCGGGTCAGACGAACAGACGTGAAATGGGTTAAAACCAGTCTCCTAGCAGCCTGATAGACAGCTGGAAAATGAAGTCAGCTCTAGCATTCATTTCTTAAAAAAACAAAACAAAACAAAGCACTTCCAAGTAGTCTGTGCATCTGTATATCAGACACGTATCTGTCTTAGTCATCGATAGCCAAAGATACACAAACAGAAATCCCAATAAAAGTCTTCAGCAATTCCGACAATGGTTAAAGCCTCCATTAAAAAAGAGAAAGAAACAAAGAACAATTGTGCAACAGAAATACAAGAGGTTATTTTGAGAACTGAAGATAAGTATTCTGGGGAGCAGGAAATGAAGATTCCAGTAAATATATATCTCTGCTTATCTTTTGCCATTTGTACATGAGCAGGTTCTTTTGTCTACTGCTTAGAAGAGAGAACAATGACCAGGACTCTTACCCCAGCTAGTAAACTCCCATTTCATTTCCACATAAAAGTCAGGAGTCTGGAAGAAAAAAACATCTGATGAATATTTCGCAAAATAGTTTTAATCTAACCCTCAGTATAGCACTTCCCATGAATATTTTAGATAAAGGAAAACTAAAAAAGAACAGAACTTCAGACATAAATGAACATTAGAACAATTAAATTGAAGCTAATAAAATATATTAGCTTACTGCTGATTTATAACAAGCTATTTTGCTTTGTTTTACTGTAGAAGCAGTAACACCTTTGACAGCCATCCTCCAATGCTGGACTTTGTGACTATGGATTTCAAAATCAGAGTCAAGAAAAAGTCTCCACCTCCCACGGGTCTATACAATATGCACATTGAAAGGAAGGAGGCAATTGCCCACCTTCAGATCAACGGGGCTCTGATCTCTGTTCCTGATTTGAGTGTACTTAAATGAACAACTTGAGTCAGACTTCCAGTCTGGAGGAAGAGGCTGAAACTAAATAGCTACCTCATTAATCTTTTGGAGTAATTCAGGAACTCCTCCAAGCGTCCTAGAGGTCTGCTGATAGTCTCGGTGCTGCAGAATCATCTGTACCATCTCCGGATCTCCTGTGCTGACAGCTTCATGTAAAACTGAAGGAAATCCAGACACAAGCTAGTTTTAGGTTGCTTTCTGAGCAAAACACACAGCGTAGAAGCAGCCAAAACACAACATCTGCACTGAAAAGCATTAACACACAGTTTCTGTTTTTAAGGTTATCTTTACCTGTCCATCCCTGGGCGTTCTCTTTAGTTACATCTGCCTTGTGTTGAAGAAGAACTTTGGCAGATTCTATGTAACCCAGGGAAACGGCAAGGTGCAACAAGGTCCGGCCTCGTGGATCACGTTGATCAACATCCTGTTGAGTACCCAAGAGATAAGCAATGCTGACGCTGTTCCATCAAACGCAGATAATCACAGCACAACGAGGAGGTCACATAAACAAAATCTGCCAGTAATTATCGAGTCTAGGCCTAGTGATCTAGTAATACATGGCTCTAGGAGTCAATGCTCCCTAGGTATCAGTTTGAGTTGCCTACACAGCACGGTTTTCAAACGCTGCCGTATGGCCCTTCTGCCCTCAGCACACTGCAATCTAACTTCCCCCCGAAAGAAAAAGAGAAGCAGAACAGGCCCTGTGCACTGACATGGTAGGAAACGGGACCTGCAGAACAGGACTGAGCTCTCACTGATGCTTCTCATTTCTTTTCCTGCAATGACTTCCCCTTCTGCCTCCCTTCAGAAGCGGTCTCTTCCTGGAAGATGGGTGTTCCACCCTGCGTGCACTGCACCAGTGACAGGCAACAGCTTGAGTGGAGGATTTCACGTCATACAGCAGAACAGGAAGAAAACCAAAATAAAGCAAACAAACGAACAAGAAAACGGGCCATACAACACCAATTTTGTATAGCACTTTTTGAAAGCAGAGAAGCAAATGTTAAGTTACAAAGCGCCCATTTGACACACACAGCACAATGAAGCCCGAGTGCATTCTGCACGAGATACTAAAAAACAAAAGTAAAAAGATACACAGGCATAAATATCCAAAACATGCAAGCACAACATACTCATACCTTACTTATTTTTCACTATTAGCTTAGAGATTTGAAACAGAAGAGCATCTACAACTAAAGGAAAAGGGGAAAGTCAATAGCAGAACAAGGAAGGAAAGTTATTATGCAAGTTACCGCGGTTATCTGACAGCATTCAGTTCGAAAAGACCACAGGCAGCTGGGAAAGCTTCGTTTTAAAGGGCTCTGCTTTCACTTCAGTGCTCCAATACCAACCAATTTGCTTCCCCCCTTCCTGCAGGTAAATGCCCACTGCACTGACAGGCGGAGGACTCCCCAAAGGCCCTCTCGGTGTTTTATTTTTTGCTGTTGTTAACCGGTAACCAGGTATTTCACCCATCCTTTGCCATACCAAGTGCAGCTGGCAAGTGTCTTCCGATCCCCTCACGCACCCTCCTCCAGCAAGAAGCTTATCCCAAGGAAGCGGGGGGGAAATACATCTTTGGAATACTCAAATAAAGCCAGTTAAGAGCAGATGAGGGAAGTCAGAGACAGCCACAGCCGCCTTAATATGCTGTTGGCTTCCTGGAGGCGTTTTGGGCGCTGGCACTGCACAGAGGTGGGCGCCTCAGGGGAAGGAGCTGCAGAAGGGTGCTTATTGCTGAGGGCTGGCCTCAGCTCAAAACTTTATCGAAATAGAAATTGAAGCAACGTGCCAGCAAGGTGAAGGACTTCAAGGAGGAGGAATTAGAAGGTTACAGACCTCGTAAGGCCTCACGTTACACAAATTACTGAGAATTAGAAGGTTGCAGACTCCGCTAGGGACTCAGCTCATAGGAATTGGACAGAAACCAGCCGCATTCCAAAGATTTTCCCCCAAAAATCCCCGGCAGGGCAGCATGCTGCGGGCAAGCGTTAGTGAACCGCACACGGCGAGGAGCAGGACGGCAGCCGCGGGCCCTGCCTCTGCCCGAGCTCTGAGGCGTTTTCACGCCTCACTGGGCCGCTACCGGGGACCCCAGGCCCAGGGGCAGGCCCGGGGCCTCCGCGCAGCCTCTCCCCACAGCTCCCGGCCCCCTCCCGGTTCCCGGTAGCGGCTCCCGCCTCCCCCCCCCCGTACCTGGCCGTGCAGCTCCTGGTCCAGCCGCCGGTGGTCGTTGTTCCAGACGAGGGCGTGCAGGGGGAAGGCCCCGCCGGGGGAGCTCATGGCGGCGCCGCCCCCGCGCCCCCCCCCCGCCCCGGTCCCCTCAGCCCCGGTCCCCTCACGGCAGCCCCGCCCCCGCCCTCCGGGGAAGCGGCCGGGATGAACCACAGGGCAGAAAGGGGGGGAGATTTTCCCCTCGTTTCCTCTCAGCGCTCACGGAAGGAGGAAGTCGGTGATAAAATGGAGCCTCCGCCCCGTCGAGTTGCGGTGGAAGGGGCGGGCCGGCGGTAAGAGGCAGGAGGATGTCGGCGCGCATCGGGTTCCCCCCCCCCGTTTTAGGGAGGAGTTGGTTTCGCCCGCCCGGCCTGGTGTAGGATGGGGAGCGGGGGAGAGCCCGCCCTGCGGCGCCATTGTGGGTGAGGGCAACCGCGGGCACTGACGCCTCCGCCCGCCATCTTGAGCCCGGGCAATGCCTGCGGCCGCCATGTTGGGTAAGGGCAGGACTTCCTGGGGGCTCCCCCTTCCTCCAGCCGTCCCGCCGACCTGCTCCGCGCCCGCCTCTCCCTAATCCTCACCTTTCCTTCTACCACCCCACCTGCTCTCTCTGCGGGCAGCCAGCACCAAGCCTAGCAACGCCTTCCCCCCTCCCTCTTAACGCCAGCAACCAAGATGGCGGCTCCGCCCCTCCCCTCACCCCGCGCGTGCGCACTGCGGCTCGGCCCGGCCCGGCCCGGCTCGGCTCGGCTCGGCGCGGAGCGGGGGCCCCGTGAGCGCGGCGGGAAGCGGCGGCCCCGCGGGGCGCCATGGCCAAACGGCTGCGGAGCAGCGAGCTGTGCGCCGACTGCAGCGCCCAGGGTGCGCCGGGGGGCGGCCCTCAGGGGCTGGGGAGCACCGGGGGGCACCGGGGGGGCACCGGGAGAGGGGCTGGGGGGCACCGGGGGGGCGGCGAGGGGGCCGCGGGGCTGGCGGTGACAGGGGCGGGCTGAGGGCTGGGGGGGTCCCGGGGTCTCCACAGCGCTGTGGGCGCGCGGAGCTGCGTTATTCCGGCTCTTTTCCTCCTTTTTTTGTGTTACGAAGCCGATCCCGGAGCCCGGCGCTGCTTTGTGAGGTGCAGCCAGCGCTGGGTGCCCCCCCCCTGAGGGGCTGAGGGGGGCTGAGGGGGATCCCGGCCCTACAGCCCCGGGGCTTGCTCGGTTTGCACAAGAGCCGGGCTTGCGAAAGGCGGCCCGAGTGCCTCGTCCAGGCTGGGTGCTTGCAAGCCCTGCTGGTGCTGTGAGGCGCTGGCGTGGCCCCACGGCTGGTTTATTTTCATTTTGGATTTGCCAGGCTCCTCGGGGCTGTGTCGCGACCCGGCCCCTCGCTGTGTTGTGTCGTGACATAACGGCACTGCCCGACAGCAGCTGGGCCGAGTGGAGAGCTCCCCAATAAGAGATTTGAGCGACTTAATTGTCTCCGCAGAGAAACCTTGATCCTTTCTTTAGATAAAAGTCACCCTTCTCTCATAAAGCAGAGGGCGACGGGCCCTCAGGGAGCAGCTGTGGGTGCAGCAGCGTCGGGGACCTGCAGGGACCACAACCTGTGAACCCACAGGAGCAGCGGCTGCGGTGACGGCTGCCCGCCCGCTGCTGCTTTGTTGCTGCTGTGAAGCACGAGCCCTGTTCTGGGCCGGGCGGTGATTTTACGTGAGCTCTTCTGGTCGTTTCCTATTCTCAGGCAGGAGCTCAGGCTGACGGCTCGGGCTGCCTGCACACACTTCCTGTTTTCGGTCACGCTGCCATGTTCCTGAAAGCAAACTTGGCCGAGCCTTTTAGCTTCTCCCCTGTTGTGCTTTGCTATCAGCTTAGGCATATCTTCAGCGGCATCTCTTTCAAAAAAGGACTAAAACAGAGCCCAGCACAGACACTTCAGTGTAAACCTGAACTGTCAGTGGCCTGTACCTGCCAGCTCTGTCACACTGTAATGCTACTCCCTTTCCATGGTACTCAACTGAGTTGAGACTCCACAAATCTTTGTGCAATTTAATTAAAAAAACACTTGGAATAAGCCGATGTGACTTTGGGAATAGGTTGCAGCACGAAGCTTCCCAATGCTTTTAGATCTTCCCTGATCACGGTGTCAAATCTGCTGCCTCCCCATCACCCAGGCTTCTCAACTGGCCTGAGCCACTCTCCATCCTCTCAGTCCCCTTGCCAACTCTGCCTGCTGCCTCTCCTGTCTTTTTATTTTTATCTTACTTTTTTCCCCTGTCATACCATCCACGCTTCCAGTGGTGCTGGTTTGGGGCACATTCTAGGCATACGCACGGACTCTTTCAGAAATGTTATTTCTTGTAAGCAGAATGCATGAGCTCCAACTACAAGCAGAGCCTCTGCTTTGTCTTCAAAAGAAGTTTGAAGCCTCATTTCTGCTATGAAATGACCAGATAAACAGTAGCTTACTTTATTGTGGCTAAACGGCCAAGCTTTGGAGCCAGTTACGCTGAGAGAAACCTGCTGTTGACTGTTAGTCAGAACAGAGCAGTGAGGTTCAGCAGCAGCTTGTAACGAGTGACTGAAACAAGCAATGTAGTGGCTTTCAGAAGAGTCTTATTAGTTTATGAATGAGTGTATGGTGAGGTTGTCTGTAATAAAAAGGGACGAGACTCATTAGTCTGGAAGGCTGCCTCCAGTCTTAGGTTGTTAGGCTGGAGTTAGCACAGCTCATTTCATTGTTATTTTTCCCACTCTCAGAAGTTAAAGTAGTTAAAATAATGGAGTGATTTAATAAGAAGGTTGTGTGCTTGTTGTTACTTTGTTTTTTTAATTAGATTAGATTTTTTTTCTCTAAAACATGCATTTTAATTTGGCTCTGGGCTATGTGATAGTTATCATCTGTGAATAGGTGCTGCTTTCCCTCCTCAGCCCTGCTTTGAACAGGTTTGCCTGCATTGCCTTCCGCACACACACAGCATCAGCTCTGCTTAAAAACCACAATGGAGATCAGATCTCATTTCGGGGATCCAGTAAATTTATTGCATGCGTTAGAGCAGGATTTTTATGATGCACAATTGCTTAGATGTATTCTGACACGGTGCAGGAGATCTCTCATCAGATACCAGGCTTGTGTGGTATTCAGTCAGCCTCAGCCCTGTCTCTGGATTTGGAAGTAAGTAGAGTATTTCAAAATGGATGAGATCTTCAACTCCTTTTTCTTCCTGGGATGTGCTGGATCTGAAGATCTGTCTTGTTACTCGGTTGTAACATTTACAGGCTCATGTAAAGACCAAGCAGTAAAGCTCAGGTTAGAATGCAGAGCTTCCTGTTTTGGTCTCTGTGTTTGAAGTAGAGTCGTATTGCCTTCCGTGTTGTAATAAAAGTATTCTTTTTCAGATCCTTGTTGGGCATCTATAAACAGGGGAATTCTGATTTGCGACGAGTGCTGCAGTGTTCATCGAAGTCTGGGGCGTCATATCTCTCAAGTGAGACATCTCAAGCACACACCATGGCCTCCAACATTGCTGCAGGTAGAGAGTAAAAACATATCTTCCTTTATATAAATAAATATATTTAGTGGTCTTGTAGAATTTAAATTGCTAAGCATTTGAGAGGGGCTGGTCGTTTGCTTTTTTTTTTTTTTTTTTTTTAGGTAATCTTTTATTTCTCTTGTTTTTGCCATGGAAGATCACTAAAATCAGAATTCTGTCTTATAAATTTGATACCTTTGTTTTGGAAAGTGACTTCCAGTTTTTCTTTCAGACTTCCATTGTGCATTTACTTCAGTCTAATTTTTCAATGTGTAGCAAGCCTCCCCTTTTGGTAGAGCTGCTGTTGTGATGAGTAGAGAATTTAAAGGGGGTTCTTATTGCACTCCATGTAATAACCTCCTAAACATGTGCCTGCTTCCCATATCCCAGTAGGTTATGGATGCTGGCACACAGAATAGGAATCCAAGTCAGCGTGCTGCCTGCTTGAGAATAATTACAGCTATTTGATTAGTCAGTCTGTGCAGCCAGCAACAAAAATCCTGCATTGACTGTTTATGTACATTCTGGATTTCAGATGGTTGAAACACTGTACAATAACGGTGCTAACTCCATATGGGAACATTCATTGCTGGACCCTGCCTCTGTTATGAGTGGAAGGCGCAAAGCTAACCCGCAGGATAAAGTGCAGTAAGTGGAACATTACAGAATTCTTACGTTTGGAGAAGCATGATTATTTTAGTTAGCAGTGACAGAGGCAGCAAGGTATACGTGGGAACCTAAATCTGCTTTGTTTCTGGAAGACAACGGGGGAACAAATTAGACATTTGTTCACTTTAATGTTTGTTCATACCTTCATGTTTGTAACAGAGGTATGCTCTGTATAGTTATGAAATCTGTACTTTCTTGTTTTCATAACGAAAACATTTCTCTTTTTTTGCTCCTAGTAATGTGCAAAGGTCTAGTGCTCTAGAGAAAGGAAAATTGGTGTCATTTTGAAAGCACTAATATTTGTTTTCTTTCGGTTTTGTTGTTTGGGTTTCTCCTTGCAGTCCCAATAAAGCTGAATTCATTAGAGCTAAATATCAAATGTTAGCATTTGTTCATCGCCTGCCATGCCGTGAAGATGACAGTGTGACTGCCAAAGATCTTAGTAAGGTTAGTATTTTTTTCTGGTAACGTACAGAAACTAGTTTGTGTGTAAGAGAACACTGAAATCTGACTGAACTTAGTTGGTTTTGACTTAATAGTGCTGAATAGCAGCAATAATTGTGTAAACAAACACAGCTTGGCTTCATTCTGAAGCAACTTTTTTCTGTAATATATATAGGGAGAGATTCTTGACATGTAGATGGTGGAGAGGCATTGACTTAGGTTAAGGTGGAGTAAAACTGTTACACAAAACAACTGTAGCAAGAAATGTTGTGTAACTTTCTTAAGGGTAGCTGAATTACAGTTACTGCCCCTGTGTTAAGTCCAATCCTGTTTCTTTTTCAGCAACTCCATTCCAGCGTAAGGACAGGAAATCTGGAGACCTGTTTGCGACTACTCTCCTTAGGAGCTCAAGCCAACTTCTTTCATCCCGTATGAACGTGGTTTTTATTACTTTGATAAATGATCAGTTCTTACAGTTTGTAGGATTTATGCAAATTTCAGTTGATATAAGTATTTTAATCTTATATTCAGAACTGAAGATAAAGTAGAGTGATGTGCTTTTTCTTAATAACTTGCAGGAGAAAGGAAATACCCCGCTCCACGTTGCTGCTAAGGCAGGACAGACTCTACAAGCAGAGTTATTAGCGGTTTATGGTGCTGATCCTGGCACACAAGATTCCAATGGAAAAACTCCTGTTGACTATGCAAGGTAGAAGGCTTGAGATATGTGATGTTCTTGTGTTAACTTGTGATCAAAATTTGCATGATGATCCTGGTTAGATATGTTTCTGTCCTGAAAACAAGGAAAAGCTGTATGTATATGTAGTTTTTTACCCACTGAAACACTCCTGAAAATCCTGCTGCGAGTCTGTGCTGTGTCGATACGCTCAAAGTGCTGTGTTCCACAGTGACTTGTACTGAATCTATTTCTCTGAGCAGTTTGGAATTTTTATGCATCTCAAAATGAATAACATAACTTTTCTTTTTTTTTTTTTTGTATGCCTGTGTAAACCAGACAAGGTGGGCATCATGAACTGGCAGAGCGCCTGGTAGAAATTCAGTATGAACTCACTGACAGGTTAGCTTTCTATCTCTGTGGCAGGAAACCAGGTGAGTAGAAAAAACTGCACCTCAGGGTCTTTCACTGTTAGTTCAAACTGTGGTATATATTCATTTCAGTGTTAGTTACACTTTTTATATCAATTTTAAATATTCTAACATTAAAAATTAAGTTCCTTTCTGGTTTTATTTTGTTCTGTTTTTAACACAGAAGATCAGATGAGCACTGTTTAATTAAAATAAATGAATTGCAGGGAAAGTACAAGTTTGATAATGTTGTCTAGTCTGCGGGAGATATTGTGGAAACTCTTCTAAGTAGTTTCTTCTCATTGAAATGTAAAAGCCAGGGAGTACCCAATTGAATGGTATCTCTTGAAAACATGCTTTGAAACTTTTAGCCAGTAAATACTATTAAGACACCTACATTAGAATTTTAATACAGTTTGTAAGACTTATTGTAATTTTATATAACACAAACAAGCTGTGGTAGGAATGTTCTTTTTGGGCCTGTTATCTTCCTATAATTGGAAACTGAGCGATCACCTGCAAGATACATGTAAACTATGTTTGCATGTATTCCTGGGTTTCTCGTTATTATGTCTTTTAGTAAAACTGAGTACCAACTACCTATCCTGACAAAATTGAAAACTATAGTCCACTAACAGCCTATTAAAGTATGGTTTGTTTTCAACTCTAGAGCATAAAAATGGACAGCACTTTGTTATACCTCAGATGGCAGATAGGTAAGTTGCTGATTCTGTGGCATGTCTGAAAACATTTTAAAACAAATAAATAAAAAACAAAAGCCTAGCAGTTAAATTTAGAACTGTCCTTTCCTCTGAAATAACTTCTAAGCTTGTTGTCATTTTTAACTTTTTAATGTGTGCTTTGTCAATCTTGGGGGTTTGTTTTTTTTCCCCTATAAAGAATATTGGAACTTAAAATGGGAAAATTAAAGAAGTTTACAATGTTTTCTAAAATTTAGGAGGAAGATGAGGCAATTAAATTAAAGGAACACATGGGTATTTCTGGGGAACAGATTTTGTAAAACAGTGTAAGGACCCATTGAGTTAATTTCCTGATACAGCATTCTGAAACTAGTACTTGCAAAAAAGCTGAGTTTCTCTTTGACAGTGCTTGTACTTTTGGTCATCTGTGCTCTTAAGTTTTGACCATGATCAATTTAAATCTCCTTTTTATGAAAGATACCAAGTATTAACCATACGTTCATGTTTTCCCTTTATTGCTCTGCAATTGGAAATTAGACGGCTGTAAGTAAACTGCTGTTCAGTTTATTGCTTGTAACATTTCTACAAAAAACAGTAATAGAAATAAAAATTACATAGAGAAACAATGTCATTGTTGGTAAAAAATACTTAGTGATGACATCTTTTTTTTTTTAAGTGTTCAGCTACTGGAGAAGTACTGTATGTTTTCAGTGCTTAGGTATTTTGTGGAGCACAGTAAGGATCATTTGCCTCATTACACAGAGAGGGAAATTGACATGCGGAGAAAATGAATTGTTCAAAGATGCTCCTTAGATTGCAGAGCATGGAGTATAACCTGATTGTCTTATCTCTGCTTGATGTCCTCTGCTGGTCTTTTCTTCTTCTTTTTCTTCCTCTTGTGTAGGTGACTGCCTACATGATTCCCTGTGATGTCATTTGATCATGCAGAGATTTTATTTGAGTCTTTCCATCCGTGTAGGTCAGGGAAGTCATCCCCTAGGTGATATAAACATGGACTCATAATTTGTCAGCTTCCTTATCTGTGGCTTTTATGATTAATTCTGTTAAACTGCAGCATTTTCGTAGTGTGCCTCATACTATAGGCTGGAAACTAGCAGAACAGATCATTGACTAATTGGTACACATTGATGATGAGCATGGCTGTTTTGCTGTAGCCATTTACCAGCCTGTTGGTTCCCTGCCTGCTGTGTGGTCCAGTGGAACAAATCCTGTGTGATCCCTGGGGACTCAAGTTTTGGTCAGAATCACCATGTTTTTCGGGTTCCCTACAGAAAGCATTTTACTGCTTTACAACTTGACTGCTCCTTGAGCTATGCAAATAGGTACTTATAATCTGAAGTATTCTTGGGATCCTTTTTGTTTAGATTTCAGTTTTTTATTTAGAAAAGTTTAAGAATATGCTAATTAGCATATTAATAATACTGGAAAAGTTAATGTATTAAAAACTATAAAAATACTAAAAGATTAAGGAGTATCAAATAAAAGATTTTAATCATTGAATTGTTGAAATGTGTAGAATTTATTTAAACAAGCGTTTAAATGCTGTAGATTTAATGATCACTTCTTTGTTTTCATAGCAGTCTAGATGTATCAGAACTTGCAAAAGCAGCAAAGAAGAAGCTTCAATCTGTAAGTAAAACTTCAGTGTGCTATGTAACACATCTTTGCTTTAATGTAGTAAACTCTGCACTTCATCCTTCAAGCTGGTTTCAGATACTATTAATTCCTACATAAATAAGAGTCGTGCTGTTAGTAGTCATTTTAAATGCATAGCTAGCTAAAAGTAGATGTATTCCTGCACTGTGTTTTTGTGTGTCAGCAGTTGAGCACCAACACATACACCTTGCCAGCAGGACTGCTTATTGCTTTGCATCTGCTTAATGGATAAATTTGCTGTGCAGGTTGAGAAGCAAGCAATTATATAGGCTGAAAAACAGAGAACTGAGTTGTACACCTGTATTCTAAATGTTATAGAGGTCTTAATATATTTAGTTTAATTTTGAGCTGTAATTATTGTCTTCTACCCTTAGCTAAGCAACCACTTATTTGAAGAACTTGCCATGGATGTATATGATGAAGTCGACAGGAGGGAAACAGATGCAGGTGAATGAGGATTTCTGGAATGTGTTTAAAATCTGAATTGTTACATTACATAAAAAATGCTGTTGCAAGTACATGTTCTGTTTAAAGTACTTTTATGTTCAGAAATTACTGATAGCAGTAATTTCTTTGTCTATTGCATTGTCTGCAGGTGTGTGTTAGTGTAAAAAAAAATAAATTTATTTTTTCCTCCCCTCTTCCCTGAGCAGTTTGGCTTGCTACTCAGAATCATAGCACGCTTGTGACAGAGACCACAGTGGTTCCTTTTCTTCCTGTAAATCCTGAATATTCCTCAACCAGGAATCAGGTATGTGATCTGAATACTATACAAATATTCTCATTTAATAGGCCAGTTGTTCTAAGTAATACTGCTTTACTGTGCTTCATTATTGCAGTAGAGTTGTGACTACTTCTAAAGAGGTTAAAATAGTTTCAGGTTACCCCTGTCACAGAGTTCTGCAGCTGTTTAGCTTAAATTGAACAGTCAATTCACTGTAACTGCTATAGTCTTTGTTTTACCTGGGAACTGTGCTGTTCGTCTAATACACGATATATTTAACATTTTTATTTTTTTAATTGTTACTCTGTAACTTAGGGAAGACAGAAACTGGCTCGATTTAATGCTCATGAATTTGCTACACTAGTTATAGATATTTTAAGTGATGCCAAACGAAGACAACAGGGGAATCCTGTCAGTGGTTCCAAAGGTAAGTTTGGGTTCTGTGTGCAATGTTGCAGTAATTTGATTGATATGATAGTATTACCTAGAAGTACTGTATCAATGAAGAGATTTATACTGTTTTTATATGATAACAAGAACTAAACAGGCACTTGGATAGCAAGCTAATGACAACATACATTAGGCCTCCAAAATAATGGCCAAATATGTGAGATTTGTGCATTAAGGCTGATATTTATAATACAATTAAATCAAGTGAAATTCAGGAAAATCTTTTTATGATGGGTGTGATTTTATGATAATTTGGTTAAAAAAAAAAATAATAATAATCCAGAACTCTTGAATAATTTGAGCAATACTTTTGTTTGGCAGCTAGAAAACTGTCAAAGTTCTAGATGCTGTTTCCTAGCTGCTATATACATACAGGACTTTTCTGTAATTGGGATGGTTTAGAGCTTATTGTTAATTTTTCTAAAAGTGTTTTTCTTTCTTCCTTGAGCATGTTCGATATCAAAGAATGCCAACAACAAAGCTATAGTTCTAGCCATAAGTCTATTGGAGTAGTATTTGAACATTAGTCTTCTGTGTGGAGCGAAAATATTAAATATATATATATATAAAATCTTTTTTTAATTGAATTTTGTCATTCATTTGTCCAGTGTAGTCAGTTTTGGATAGTAATAATCCATACCTATTGGGTGGATCTAAATTAAGTTCTCTTGAACATGTCAAATGGCATTTGTCTTCTGTTGTTTCTTTGGTCGAATTTTTATTTTTTTTTTAATTAATTTTATGCACTTCCATTTGTCCTCCAAACTTACCAGTACATTTTAAAATGAATTTTGATTAACAGAAAATGTGGAACTAATACTCAAATCCATAAGCAATCAACATAGCAGTGAAAGTCAGGATAATGACCAGCCTGATTACGATAGTGTTGCTTCAGATGAAGATACAGATCTGGAAACAAATGCAGCTAAATCTAACAGACAGAAGGTGGGTCTGAGGTATTTATACACATACCAAATTTTATTCATAAAGGTATTCCCATTGGAAGGGAATTTAACACACATAAACGATCAGAGAGCCAATGTTTTAATATTCATCTTCATTTTGGAATCATGCCTTAGTCTGTGTAGTTTCTAACAAAATTAGATGTTGTGACTCAATGAATTTGTACTGTAAAGAAAATGCTTCTTTAGAAAAGTAAACTATGCCACTGTGCATGTCTGGGGATGTAGAGACCTAGCTGCACAGATGAAATACTTAGATCTCCTGAAATACTCTTATTCAGTGATTCCAGGTATTTCACAAACACTTACTTCTTCTCTCTGAAAAAGTATTCAGAGCAGTCCAATAATAACTGAATGTTTTAAACCACTCCTGAAAATAATGCAGCATGGCGAAAAAGGGGCAGCAAATTATAGTATTTCTAGTTTTATCTTACATGGTAACATACCCACTGTACACTTAGTGAACTGTCTTTTATGGCTTTCAAGTTCCTTATTGTGTATTTAAACAAAAACCCTTATGAAACAGTATTGTTTCACTGTTTGAATTAACTGAGACAAATGTTTTTGTGCATAGGGGAGCTAAGAGCTTATTGATACCAAATTTATTTTATATTGGCATAAAATGATTTGAATGTATGGATCTTACTGAAAGGTATGTGAAAAGCTGTTGAAATCTCATTGTCTTGTTTTCTTTTAGTAGTCTCAGAGTTTTTCTCTTACTGTTTATAGAGTCTGGATTCAGACTTGTCAGATGGACCAGTGACTGCCCAGGAATATATGCAAGTTAAAAATGCATTGGTGGCTTCTGAGGTAAAGATTCAGCAGTTAATGAAAGTGAACATCAACTTGAGCGATGAGCTGAGAGTCATGCAGAAAAAGGTAAGAAGCACAATAATGTAACGTCTTCATCCAACGATGTGTTATCAGTTAACTGTAATGAAATTGCTGAAGCTGAAGATGCAATAACCCAATATTAGTACAGGGAGAAAACTTTTAAAATGGAGCCATTTTAGAATTGGATATGAGACTACGAATGTGTGTGCATGTAGCACATGCTTTGAATTTTTTTTTTTTATTTTTTTTATTTTGTGGAGATGATAATAGTCTACGTAGTTCACTTTGACATAAGTTTTCCAACTGATGAGGCAGTTATTGCAAGTCTGGTGTACTTGGGCTGTCTTGCTTCAAGATGAGCAGTTTCTGATAACCAGGAAGCAAGCGATAGCACACACATTGTGTGTGCACTTGTGTGTATAGGTAAATACTGCACTTAAAACTTTTCCAGTGTGCATGTTATTATTTAGGAAGCCTGGCTGGAATGAGAGGAAAGTAAATTTCTAGTCCAAATTGACAGTAGGTAAGACTCTGAAATATGGCAATAAATTACGATGTTTTTGTATAACAGGAGACTTGTTTGCATTTGAATCTGGGGGAAATGGTGCATAAGGAATATACTGATAAACCCGATTCCTGTTTTAAACCTTCACTGTGGGTTTTGTCTAGATGAGCATAAGGTAGAGGTATCTCACTTATTATATGAGTTACTGTGGACAGGTAGACTTATGCAAACAGCAAACTGAAGGTTTTCGCTAAAATTCTGAATGTAAAGCTCCAAAAACACAATTTGGAAGCTAGACCTTCTAATCCGTATTTATGTAAGTCAACAATTTGTTGAATGCTCTGCCAGTTTTCTGATAAATATTGTTGTTATTATTTGTAACTGAAAATAATCAGTAATAAAACAATGCAAACATAGATAAAACCACTTTTTTTTGTTCCACTCAGCAGAGTAAGGCATCTGAGGCCCCTCTAATTCAGCAGATGCAGATATCCTCGTCTGTTTGCTGCCATCCTTTTGTTGCAAATGTGTCCAGCCCTTGAGATCTATTGGAATGTTGAATACAGGGAGGAACCCAAGAGATCTCTGAGTATTTCCTGTTCTTTTAGCGGCTTGTACTGATCAAGGATTTTTTTATCACTCAGATAAACTGAGTCTCTTGAAGCAGATTTAATCTACACATAGGGAAGAAAATATGGCTTATGAAGTAACGACTCCTCAGTGTATTTATGTGGCGTGGCAAAAGAAATCATTGGTCTGCTGCAGCAGAACTTGTTTGAAAGACAGCGCAGCCAGGGCTCGCTCATTTTGAAGATGCTGCACTGGTTTTATGTCCTGATGATGTGTGTAGCTGGGGGACTTGCTTACATTAATGCTTGGTGGCTCTGGATTAGCGTAGAAGTATTGCAGCAGTGCGCCTTCGTGGAACACAGAGTAGGGAGGAGTGCTAACAGCTGTATTAGCTCTGAGCTGCTGGGAGCTTCTGTGCCATGCGGGAATTCTCTGCTGGGATATTTGTGGCAAGACATCAATGTCATTGTTCTTCAGCAATTTTCATGGAATAGATGGCATTCAAGAGTCTTTTTTTTAGGTTGAGGGCTTGGTCTGGGCTTACGTGAGCTATTGGTTTAAATTGCAGCAAAAGCAGGGTGTAAAATGTGACAGAAGTTAGGAAAAAGGAAACTACAAATTTGACCTATTGAATTGCCTTTAATATGTCAAGCTTTAAAGAAGTAGCTTGGCTCCTGGCTGATCCTCAGATCTGAAGATAATGGGGCATCTGACTACAGAGCACACAAAATGTGCATTGGGGAGAGCATAAATTATCTTGATAAGAGTCTGTATGTTTGATTTAGGGTACTGGGAAGTGCTCTAGGCAAAATAGGATTGTTCTGATAGAAAGAATGTTCTTGAGGTTTCATGAAAGTAGAAATATACAATTTCCTGTTTAAAGGCCATCCTCGGTTTGAAATACCAGTTTGAATATCCAACATTTTGTTGGAGAATTGCTGATAGCTATTTTTTACATCTTTTCTTTGTGATGTGTTAATATAGCAAACTTACTCTGAGTAACTCCACAATAAACAGACCTGTTGCATTTTTACTATCCATCAAATACCTAAAATAAAAAAGCTTTGAATTATTTCTCATTGGCTTCTTAGAAAGCAGTAGCTGATACTTTATTTTCATAAGCTAAACTCTCCTCTTGCTTTGCAGAGCAAGCTCTGATTTTCTTTGCGCTGTCTCTGGTGTCTATGCTATAGTTTTGGCATTTTCAGATTTTGTGGGCCTTATGTTAAAGTCCTCTTTTAAATTCTTGTGTTGACTGCTGGAACGGATCACCTTGCTTGAAAGAACAGTTTTGTTGGCAGTCCTTCCCCACGCATCCTCATTGTGTTACGTGATTTACGTGCCAGGACAGCCAGGCTGGAAGAAACAGATTGTGTGTGTTTTTAACTACAACAGCCAATTTTAAGATCCAATTTGACTTGTGTCCCAGCAAAAAAAAAATGCTGGAAATCAACACATAAATATTTTCCAGATCTGCAACATAGATTCTGTGCTTGTACTAAACAAATCAAGTAGATTTTAAAAAATAAATCAATCCCCAGCTACTGGAAGCTGGGTTTGCTAGTAAAGCAGACAAGCTTTGTGTAGTCAGTTTGCTTTTGACGCTTGCTATTAGGAAAACAAAGTCCCACTGCTAAACATTTCTTTCAGCTTCAAACGCTACAGAGTGAGAATACCAACCTCAGAAGACAGGCCACAACCAATATATATCAGGTCCAAAGTGGTTCTGACTACACAGACCCTACCAACAATTCTTCTTTAAAGCGACGACCATCTGCACGGGGTAGCAGACCCATGTCCATGTATGAGACTGGATCAGGTCAGAAACCCTACCTCCCCATGGGAGAGGTCCCATACCCAGAAGAAAGCATAACAAGACTGCAGCCTTTTCCTCCACATGTAAGTAAAACTGCTGATGCTTCTGCATTTCTCCTGATGTTCAGCTTTTCTGTCTCTTCCACCTGTGCTCACTTACCAAAGCTGCTCAACTGTCTGCTTTGGAGTGAATTTGAAGTGTAAGAATTGTTACTGTTTGCTGTATTAACATGTCTGCAGGAGCTTGATGTGTAGAAAAGTAAAACCTGTAATGATATTGGAATATGTGAACTGGAGCTTTTGGCTTCTGCTCAGCTCTTTCTGTTAATGACAGTATACATGCCAAATATCAATGTGTGGCTGTTTCAAAGCCATGAGGGGGGAAAATAGCATTCAGAGAAGGTGGGTATAGTTCGTAGATTTCTTTCTGGATATATACAGGCATATGACAGTTTGTGGAACTCTAGAGTGACCTTTTAAAACAAAATAAAACCGGAGCCAACTTATCAACTGACAACCAGTTTCTTAATCTGAGCTTGGAACTGGATACTGAAGATGTTTTAGATCTGTTAGTTGCACAAATTCTTCTGGATTAGTATTTTTCTGTACGATGCACTACGAGTGAAGACAGAGTTCTGCATTGGCCACAAGGATTCTGCACTAATGTGGAGGGAGGGCAGATATTCTGTGCCAATTGCAAAGACACAAGTGCATTAGGGAATCTGCAGAAATTTGTACACAGCTCCCCCCCACTTCAATTAGATTAATAAGAACTTGAAACTATGAAATCTGTATTGTTTTAAATGTTGGCATGTCAATATAAAAGCAGTTCTGGCAGGGAGAAGTGTCAGAATTTTTTTGTATGTGGCTATGCATGCAAGACATGGCAGTGTTTTGTATAGGTCCTTTGCCTTTCTTAATTGTTTTGAAATGTGGGTAGAGGCGGTGGTTCTGAAGCACCGATCTGTTTTGTGGTGTTTGGTTAATTTGGAATTATGGTGAATGTATTGTTCTCTGTGGAATTTTGAACCTCTGGAATATCCATATTAGAACTGCTCAGGCAGATTATAAGCAGCCTGGCCTGGTGGGAGGGGGATTGGAACTGGTGATCTTTAAGGTCCCTTCCAACCCAAACTGTTCTAGGATTCTGTGATTACCATGAAGCCAAATGTATTCGGAAAGAATTAAGTCCTCACAGGCTCAGCTAAGTTCTCAAAACCATTCTTGCTTTATGTCATCTCCGTGGTTTTAAAAATGTTCCTTTATTTCCGTTAAGAATTATTTGTGTTTTGTTTTTTTTTGGTTTTCCCGAGTGTTTTTCTCTTTCCCATTTTTAGATCGGGAGGAGTGCGTTTGTGACCTCCTCTTCATCTCTACCTTCCTTCCCCTCCACGCTTTCCTGGTCAAGGGATGAAAGCACACGAAGGGTTAAGTACCTTCCCAATTGGTCTTTGCCTGGAGGAGGTGGCACTCTCCCCACAAGGCTTCTGCCCCTGTCCTCTCCCTTTTTTGCTGATAATCTTCATGCTTGCATGAAGCAGTATTTCATCACTTTCCGTTTCTTCTGCAACGTGCTGCGGACACTTGCCTTTCTCTAAACTTCACAGCGGCTAAAATCTTCAGCATTTAACACCACGCACAGTGACTCCAAATCACTCGTTCAACTGTGTAACAGTGAGAACAGCCAGAAGACAACTTGCTTGCTGCTTGGGAAGTAATTTGGCAAGCGCTCACTGATATTTCACAAGCCGATGTGTAACCCTTCCTCCTGACTAAAATGCACTGCATGAGGCACATGTATGTCCTAACTTTAAAGCCTGCTTTCTTTGGGGGCTGTCAGTCTGCATCAATCCACATCGATATTGATGGGACCCATTTATTTTACAGGTATTCGGTAGTTTGTTTGAAGCGTGCTCTTTAAGCATCCAAGCAGATAATTATTCAGTTATCTGAACCAACAGTTCATTCGTTCGGTGGTGGCCAGCCTGCGTTCTGCTGACCCAAACAGATGAAAAGACTGAGTGGCACGGGTGTTGGTTTTAGCAAGGATACTTTCAGGTCGAGATGAAAAACTTTGAGAGTGTATAAAGGGATTTATATTGGTGTTCCATCAGGATCTACAAAACCTTATTGTTAGTGCTAGAGCTAACAAAACCCCTTGACTTTAGGAAAAAAAAGTTACCAAGAAATGTGAAATGCATTCTGTGAGCTCTTGTTGTTCCGAAGACAGTCTTTGCTGCAGCCTCATACGCGAACTGTTAGCTGTTTGAAGAAGCCTCATCCAATTTCTTAAGCTTTTAAAAACCATTTTGCTCTTTTTTGTAATGGGACATTCAAACCTACTCCTACTCCAATTGCTAGAAGGAAGCATAAATGCCACCTTGCGTAAGGAGATGGTTAGCACAGCCTGCAAGGCGAACAGTTTGGTAGACTAGTCTGTGCCAGCTTCTTTGTACTCTTTTTTTTTTCTTTTTTTTTTTTGCTTCTTAGTAAGACTTAACTGCTTTTGCAAAGGTCTTCCAAGAAAAGCTCTCTCTTTCCCCTGCTGTCTGTGTGGTTAACGCAGAGCAATCGGTGCCGTCTCGTTCCATTTCTTCGGCAAATTTGACAACATAATACTGAACGTTTCAGAACCCGTCTGGGTTTAATGTTGGATGGTAATACTTGATTAAGATTCCCTTTGTCTTAACTGGAGAGTTCCTGTAAAGCTCCGGGTGTGGCAGCTCAGCGGGGATGGCAAGGGGCCCTTTGCGGTGTGCGGTGCCCATGAGTGGGGCAGGAACCGATGCTGAGGCTGAGCTGTGTGTGGTGCCGCTGACATGGTGCTCCTGTAGACGGATGAGCAGTAGCAGCACTTCTGACAAGTTCTGCAGCTTCTGAGACTGTAGCAGGCAGATGTGTGGGGATCCCAGGGCCTGGCCGAGGGTGGGAATGGCCTTGGGGCTTCAGAGTCTGCGTGAGATGGGCCTGACAGCAGGTGTTCATAGCGTGAACCCGGGATGTGCTGCCCAGGTATAAAATATCCAAGTTGGAGAAGGGATCCTAGCTAGCTGTGAATTTCCAAGTGTGTTTTGGAGCCCAGTCACGGTGTACTTAGCCGGGGAATGTGGTGTGAAAGGGAGAGCAGGGAAATACGGGGCTGGGCTCAGGGCCTCCACCCTCCGTTCTGCAGTGAGCCCCAGCTCTGGTTGCTCTGACCCCTCTGTGGTGGGCATCCTGCCACGCCTGGTTGGGCCACCACTCGGTCCAGCATCCCGAATTCGGTCCGGCCTCCCTCTCTATGCTGGGCTTCAACTCATTTCAGCCTCCCATGCTCGGTTTGACTTCTACTCTGTGCCTGCTGTGGGCCTTCTGCTCTTGTTCTGGCTCCCCTGCTGCGCTGGGGCTCCCACTTTGGTTTGTCTCCCTGCTCTCTGGTGAGCCTCCCGCTCACTTTTCAGCCTCCCACTTCGTGGTGGTTTTGCCCTCTCCGCTTGGCCTCCCTGCCTTGTTCTGGCCTCTGCTCCCCACTGGGCCCTGGCACACACCTGGCATTTCAGCAGCAGGAGAAGGAGCTCGTGCTGTGAGCGCCTGTCCTGCCCCGCTGAGCCAGGCCCTCGCTTGGGGCATGGTGGGACTGTGCTGTGCAGCAGCGTGCAGGGTGTTGGGGCCTCAGGTACAGCAGGGAAAAGCTGGCTGCAGGAGCCTGGCAGGGGGCAGCAAGGTGCACTGGGCTCCCGACCAGCAGCTGGAGCAGAGCAACCCCCAAACATGGGGCAGAGGGGTGCTGGCACAGCTCGGGGCTCTCCTTTCATGCACAATGCTGAAATAAATCTGTATTTCTTGCAGGCCTCGAAGCTGGAGAAGCAGAGCAGCGTGTCGGAGAGTGACTACGATAACCCCACTGCCCCTCTGGAGCTGGAGGAGACAGGGTAGGTGTGGAGAGCTGTCGGAGGACAGGGAGTTTCGTGGTGGTGAAGTCCTGTGCTGCAGGGCCAACCTCAGCTTCATCCATTTGCAGGTCAGGCAGGAAGGGACGGCAGAGGAGCATCATTTGGCAGGGGGAGGGATCCATCCCCGAGGACACCGACACAGCCCCCAGCTCCAGTTTGCCCAGTACAGAAGATGTGATTCGGAAAACTGAGCAGATCACTAAGAATATTCAGGAGCTGCTGCGAGCGGCACAGGAGAACAAGCATGACAGGTAAGGCGTGAGTGCAAATTGCTCTGGAGTTTGAGAAAATGAAGAAAATTCTTCCACCAGCCGTGTTAATGCCTGCAGATCTTGATTTCACAGGCATGAAGCGTGTAGGCCTGTGGTATTCTCTAGTGTACTGGAGGACAGTGGGGTGAGCAGGGGTGCGTGACCAGTGCAGGTGGTGGAAGCACATGCTCCTGTCCAAAAAGCCAGCACAACCCTCTACAAGTGGGTTTGGGCTGCAGCGCTGCCTGTCCCCTGCCTGCCCTGCCAAAACTGGTTCAGGGACCGGGAGCGATGGGGAACAAGGTGCTTGTGAATTCCTGCTGCAGAATGCAAATGTTGTTTAAGATGAAAATCAAGTGAGTATTTCAGAGAAATTGACGTTAAGTGGAATTTTGGGCCTTCAGACTGTCGTGTCCTTGGGTAAGGACACCCTGTGGAAGGGTGGTAGTAATACTGAGGCTTGTTTCAGCAATAAATCTGTAAAAGAGGGAGAATTTGACTTTTCTACTAAGAAGTTAGTACAGTGAATGTACAAGCAAAAGCTATTTTGAATTACTGAGCTTAGTCACAGGCGTAGCTTGGTAAGCAGGAGACTTGGTCATCAGGTAACACTGCAGCTCCAGCTCCCTCAGGGAACTTCTGGCCCAGTCAAACAATTAATTTCCAGAACAAACGTGAGCAAGTAGAAGTGGTAGTCACAGCCTGGCCATCAGGTAGTGCTCCTGCACAGCTTTTATAAAGGACTGTAAATAATAGTTACATCTGAGCACGTTTTAGGCCTGGAACAGTTTTGGTCTCCAGAAAAACCAAACTTGCCAACACGTCTGCCTGCAGTCCTGAGTGCTGCGCCCATCCTTGCCTGTGAGAAGCAGCTGATGATTTTTGTTAAGCCCTTGCTTCCTGCCTTGCTGAGAGAAGTGCACAACAATGGGGCCACTCTTGTGCTGTGTTTTTTCCTTCTGGTACTTTTCTATTTTTAGAAGGGCCAGTGTGTGGCCTTTCCTTCTCACACTGAATGGCGAGATGTAACGTGTTTGTGCTGAGCTCCCTGCCCTTGTCCCTAACCTCTGCCACAGCAGTGTGGTGTTGCTTGATTCTTACAGCTCATAATGAGAAGCAACAGTGAGAGAAGTTTTAAATGACTTTGGTTTTTATATATGTCACAGTTTTAATAATAAAAAGTCATTGAAAGAAACAGGGCAGTGTACCTAACTTTTAGCTGTTAAATTGCATAGATAGTTATCAAAGCTGTGCTCTTTTTTGCGTGTTCTGTGCCATGTGTAGGAGAGTGTGGTGTTTGCCAGTACTTAAATGAGTATAATCTTCACTGAACTGTGAAGCTGTTGTTCTTTGTTTTCCTGTTCCCTGGCTTTGTCTCTGGGGGCTGAGAATTGCTCAGCATGCGGCAGGCAGGAGATGGAGTGGGTTTGTTCCACCGTTCCCTTCCTGCAATAGGGGAACACTTCCTTAACAAACCTAGGTACCCAGGGAAGTAATAACATAGCCTCCAAATTGGTGCTGAGAATGTTGTAGATAAAAATCACACGCTGCATAGATAACCAGGCAGTAATAAAATGATGCGAGCATATAATCTATTAATGAACCGCCTTCTTCCCTTTTCTATTTTTTCTTGCTTTCTTCTGTTCCTTTTCCTGTGCTCACCTGGCCGAGCAGACCATTAGAGCGTGCGAGCATGCTCAAGCTCAGACACAGCCTCGGCTGCTTCAGCACGCTGGTTCCCTGGGCCGAGAGAGCTCCCCTGCAGCCTCTGACCATCCAGCAGCCCGGCCCTGCCTCCTGGTACTCTGGCCTCTGTCCCTGCCTCCCAGGCACAGTGTCCTTTCTCTTACTCTCTGCTGCCTTTTTCCCTCACACACCATCTGCACAGGGGTCGTTAAAGGCTATGCATGAAATGCTTCTGATGATAAGGAAACTGCAGGGAATATCCAGCACAGGTAGTTACGAGCCCTGGTGCTGCCAGCTCAGTTGAAGCTCCTGTTACTGATTTAATGGGGAGCAGAATCACAGCCTGGCATTGTGGCTGGCTCTACTTAAGAGATTCTCCCATCTCTGTTCTACCTGTTGTCCACCAAGACAAATTATGGCAATAACTTCTCAGCACGCAGCATTCCTCAATCTCAAAAGGTCTTCAACTTTTTATACAGCTGTCATGCTGAACGATAACATAATTTGTGCCTCAAATCAATTAAAAAGAAAAAATTATTTAACCAGTGTCTTCTAAACTGACCAAAATATCATTATTAATGCCTAAAATAAAAATAAAATGCAAGTGAAACATTTTTCTAAAACAGAACTTCCCAAACTTTAACTCCAGGTGTTATTACCAGTGATAAATATCAGAAATGGAGGAAGAGGTTGCCACCACTTACTGGTAACGATGGATTCTCCTTTCTGAGTTGTCACTACTGTAATATCCTCCCGATGTCTTACTGGAATGTGTGCAAATGCATTGAATGTGTCAGGTTATTTCACAAGCTTTCTTATTTCACAAGTGTTCCAACTATACAACACAGCCATTCCTCCAAGACATGCAATAAACTTTGCAGCTAACCTAGAGAACTGGAGATATGTTGTGAACTATGCATCATTAATCTTTGGTCAGGTGGTTCTTAGGGGTTTATCTGCCTTGTTGCCTTGTTATTGCAGAGTTTAATCATCAAACTGGCTTTTTTATCATGCAAAGTGCTGTTCAGTGTGGCTTGCAGGAAACAAATTAAGAACAAATTAATTTTTAACTCACTGGCAGAAAGGAATTTACAACAAACTTGAAAGATTTCCCTCCGCTTTCAGGTTATTTGGAAGGACTCAGGTGATTTGAGACATCCAGAAATACACCTTTTTTTTCTTTTTCTTTTCTTTTTTTTTTTTTTTAGCAATTTTCCTGCATTGCCAAAATGACCCCAGTGTGTTGCTTCCTTCTCAGTGTGTTGGTGACTGACCCATTTGCAAGATGACTGCATAAAATGACTGTGGGGTTTTGTTTTTTTTCTTGCTTGTAAGGGCAGTGATCTACCATAATCCACAGGTGCTGATTATTTTTCTTGAATGTGGTTGCTTTGTGATTTTTTTGAGCTTCTTTTGCTCAAGACTGAACCATATTAATTAACTAATACTGAAATTGAGTCTTCGAAGCATAAAAACGAGTCTTTTGACATAATTTGGACAGACCACGCTAACAGAACAGCTCACAGCAGCTTGCGGTAAATAGTTTTAAGATGTAATTTGAACGGGTATTACTAATTTTCATTTGGTATGCAAGTCCAAAGTGAAATCCCTCAGGACTAATGGAATCCGCATTGTTTTAGTAGCTCTCACTTATTAACTCAATAGCGTTACTGAATATTTAGCCTGAAACTTGTGTTGTGGAAGTAGTTGGTAGCTAAGAGATGCATGTGCTTGGAAGGTGCTGTATGGGGATGGTGTGTTTATGTTTAGGGTGTTGAAATCCACCCGAGAAGGCATGGTGGCACCACTAAGCTACCTGCATGGGATGGTTTACGTAAACTTTACCAAAAAAGCAAGGTAGGAATTCCGTCCTGGCAGTTGGGCATACCCCATTCTTAGGTACATAACCTTCCAATCTGTGAGATGGAGAGGGAAATCGGTGCCCAGTGCTGCATTCCTGGCTTCAAATGATGGTGACTGCTCCAGGGATGGGAATCTTGGGGTCACGGTGTGACTTCAGCGTGGATCTGCTGCAGACTGAAGCGTTCTTGCAGCCAAGCTGCTGGCCCTGGAGTGGCACATTTGTTACAGAGGCTCTTCAGAGTTTAGCTGAGAAACGAACATCAAAAGCTGTGAGGGGTAGACCTCAGGTCTCGCTGCCAAGTGTTCTGAAGTCAAATTGTTGGGTTGACTGTGTTGAGGTAACTTAGGTACAAAGTGGTTTTTAGGAAAAGATCCTTCTTTATAGCTTGCAAATGAGGAAAAAAATGCAGAAAAATTGTAAGTATTCTTTGAAAGGTCAGTCCAAGACAAGATAGTGCTATTAATAGCAAAGCTTGAATGGTAAATTAAGAGTTTGGATGGCCAAAGTTCAACTCTGAAACATGAAATCAATTTAAACACTTATTTTTTAAACTCAGATCACTGATGTTGTTTAGCTGCTTAGATCCTAAGCAGTTTAAATACTTTTCTTTTCATAGTCTGATTTTACAGCCTCTTAGTTTATGCAGAAAAAGCTCATTCATAATGAAAGATTTTCCTAAAATAGTTTCCCAACTGTGGAATCTTGCTTTAAGTTTGTGGCCGACGTACACCAGTTTGCACGGGCATGCTCTCGCACACACAACAATGATGCCCATTGTGCACACACCAAACAGAACCAGCCGCACAGCTTTTAGAATTTAGAGACAAAAACTGTAGCATTGGACTGGGGGAGGCGAGGAGGAGGAAATTTGAGTGTATGAATTAATGTGTAGTTAATATTCATAGACAGTGTCTCCTGTAATTGCTTACAAACTGAGGCCTCTTCTGACAGCGCTTGGCGCAATAGATGTGGACAGTCATTCTTCAAACAAACTTTGATCAAAGAATAATGCAAACTGGAGGATTAATTTTGTATTATTTAAGATCTTGTATTTTCTGAAGTCAGTTCTATACAGACCTGTGCTGTGGTGTGCCAGGGAATGCTCAGGAAGGAGACACTGAGGATCGCAGCATTGTGTGTTGCACCATCTACTTCAGTTGCCTGAAGCACAGCCTGCAAGGATATTTTTAGAATACGTATGGCTTTTTTGTTAACTCTGTTGTTTTTAGAATAATAGTCCCTGACAAGTGAAATTGAAGAGGGAAGGGGGTCTCCACACAACGAATAATACATTGCCTCTTTTTGCAGCTATATACCGTGCTCCGAGAGAATACATGTGGCAGTAACAGAAATGGCAGCCTTGTTCCCAAAAGTAAGTATCTTTCAGCATTAACATGGGTTTGGCCTCGTTCTTTGTTAGTATATTTACCTGCAGTAAATAAAAAGCAAGAGCTGCAGGAAGGGAGAAAATGACTAGGGTTTTTGTGGGCTGGTTTGTTTCTGTGTTTTGGGTTGTTTTTTCTTTCAATCTTCCATTCTTGTGTTTATTCACGTGCTAATCAGGAAAGGTTAATTTGTGTATCCAGGCCCCTGATTTTACTCTTGGACTTTCAACTTGAGATGCATGCAGTTCCTCAGAAAGTAGAAGCAACTTGCCTCTAGTTTGTGGAGCCGTGTGGTTATACTGGACTTTTGCTGGGCCTTCAGGTTTTCCTTTGAATGCCATTGCTTGTTTTTTATACATGTTCAAAGTCTTTTCTACCTCTATAAAAGTGACAGGGAAATCTCATGCCCTGTGTCTGTCTGAACTGTCTTCTACACACTATTGTGATGGCAGCCAGGACACGTGCTGGGTAGCAGAGAAGGAGAAAAATCAGAGAACTTGTCTAAGTAACTTTTTAAATGAGAACAGGAAGCAGTATTCCTTGTTCACACCTGAGATTATGGGAACTCATTTCATCCACTCCTGCCCTGTCCCTGCAGCGATGGCTTATAACATCCCGCAGAGAAGTCTGTGTAGAAAGCAGAGCCCTAGCAGCAGCTGTCCCATGCTAAAGAACACTCATCAACCTCTACTGGCTAATTACAAGTGATCCTAAAATTGTTCTGTCTGGTTTTACTTTCCCAGAAACCCAAATCTGAACTGGTAAGGACTTCTTTGCGTCTGCTGACATCTAGTGCCTACAGACTCCAATCTGAGTGCAAAAAAACCCTTCCTGTGGAGACGTGCCCTACGACGGACATCCAGCTGGTTACACAGCAAGTCATCCAGTGCGCCTACGACATTGCCAAGGCTGCTAAACAGCTGGTTACCATCACAACCAAAGAGAACAACAACTGAGTCGCTCTTGGCTTTTTAATCTTGTTTTTTAAAGGTTGAATTTCAAATATAGGTGTGGAACTATTCAAATTTTTATGAGGAAAACTAAAGGGGCAAGAAACTTTTTTTTAAACTCAGTATTATTTTTGCATGTTTTCTAACAATTTTAATGATTAATTTAACCCACTGCCTTATTTTGTGCCTGTGTTGCCAGTTTAGTTACCGTTAATAGCATGTTGCAAATAGCTATTGAGCCAATATCATGTACCAGCGGTGTTTCAAGCTCTTGCTAGATGTTTCCTTGAGGCCACGTTCTGCTTTCAGATATTGCTTGCAAAATCCCCACCAAAGTCAACTGCAGATATCAGGGGGCAGAATCTCGCCTCTGCTCTGTCCATCCTGGAGCCTCCCGCGCAGTGGTGCTGCTGATGGAGAAACGTGCAGTGAAATGGGCTGCGAAGGCTCCAGGCCCATACCTGCTGACCAGCAGAAGGAAGCTCGTACTCCTGATCAGTGGAATACCAGCCACTATTACCTGTTCCCATATCAACTGTTGTGCAATAATAATGTTTTTAGTCTGCCGAGACAATAGTAGCTGTGGGCATCCGAGCTTATTACATGTAGCTATACAAGGTCTTTGTCACTTTACCTATTTTTGGAAGGAATTTCAATTTTAATAGTTATTTCTTTTAGTTGTCACTATGCCATTAATATATTATGTTTGATGTTACTTTAGGGCATTAGTGGTTAAAATATTATCCCTTGTTTCTGGTTTGGTATCTCATTCTTAAGTTTCCTACAGAATTTTACTGTCATCTTCAAGGCAACACCTCGTTTGCAGCAGCACTGATGCAATTTCACTGAAGATTTGTGATAATTGGAAAAAGAAGTGCCAGTTAAAGGAAGCTGTGTCTGCCATAGCATATAACCTCTGTACCTCAACGTATCAATGTGAAAAGGTTTCTTCTATCCAGTAAGTATTTTGCAAAGGATTCAAAACTTTACAGCTATTTACTGAATAACCCAAGCTAGGTTGCCTGTCAGAAAGGTAGATTGGTTACAGACATCCATGTGTGTTTCAGGTTTTTCCATTTATAACAGTTTACAAAACTTTGAAAAATAGGCAAGTCCGTAATTACAAAAATGAGAGCTCCTGGGGAGTCAAAACTCCATAGTTTTTGTCTCCTCACATCCCATTTGGAAGCTTGTTGTGATTTCTAAGGAGCCTGCTAGGGCAGTTTAGCTGGCAGCCAGTTCAGACAGTGTTTTATTTAAGAGCAAAGTTACAGAACTACAGCAGCTGTCACGTGTCAGCAGTTGATTGGAATATTCAGATAGTCCTCACAGGAGCATTTGAGTCAAAAGTGATTATCTGCCATTCAACAAACAGGTCTACAGTATGGAGTCTACCAAAAAACACTTATGCTTCAAGGCTTCCTGGTAGAAAAACTGCTGTATTTAGAAGATGAAGCCACTTTCAGCAGTTCCTTCTTGCAATCACAGTGTTTGTATGCACGTATAAACACTAAGTGCCATAACACGCTTGGATTCTTGTGTTGGATGTAGCTCCATTTTTAAAGTAGTGTAAATCTGAAGGAGGGAAGGAATGGAGAGAGTAGATGACAATCCAGTACATTAATCTTCTTCATAGTAACTTTTTTTTTCTCCCTTCCTACACCTCTGAATCCTAGAACTGTCTCTAAACTCACAGGAATGCAGACAGGCTGGGATTGAAACTATAAAAGATTTATAAAACCTACTTCAAAATTACTCTGCTTGCAATTAAATACATTAAGAACAGGTTCCCAGAAGATTATCAAATTAATATCATTGAAAGGTAGCAGATGGTATTTTTAAATCTCTCAGGACACCATTGTTTGCTTTTCTTTAACATATCCTACCTGATTTTGAAGCAGGGTAGCACTGAGTTACGCTGTAGGTTTAAATTTGTGCCTGTACCAAAACAAAAGGACACTTCAATAGCTACAAGCCCTTGTTCTAGCTAGGCTAGCTCCAGGTTTTCAAAAAACAATCATTTATCTTGGTGGAAGGCCTAGCTTAAAAAAAAAAAAAGCCACCTGTAATTGATTTTCCATTCTGGTAAATTCTGCTCTCTGAGCAAACATTTGTTCTAGACTGGTCATTGCCATACCCTGTTACTGCTCCAGAACCCCAGTGCACGTGACGAGGGATGTGCAATTTTCTGATGCCATCAGTGAAACAGAAGCAGTTTGAGCAAACACTTACGTGTTCTGCCAGATCTCATCACCAAGGCAGTGTTACAAAGCCAGCTGAAGAACTAAAGAGTAGCAGGGTAACCCCCAAACCGCACAGCATTGCAGGTCAGAAGATTTATAATACCCAAATAAAAAACCTGTGTTTTTTCTTTTATGACATCTCCTTCCCCCACCCCACAAACCAGAATTCCTCTCTTTACAAAATGCTGCATAGGAACAAATTTATTATTTTTTTTTGCCTTTTCTGAAACTTGTATTTATCAGTGTCATTCTGTCTGTACTATACTCTGATTTAATCTTTTGTTTACTGTATTACTATAAAATGCTAAAACCTTGTTAATGTGTAAAATTACTTGGGATTATTTGACTGCTGTTTTTGTAAAGAAAAGATCCTGAAAGAGTTGCTGTAGTTAAGTAAAGTCTGCAGTGCTCAAACAGAACGCATCTGTGTAACCTTCCTGTAGCACGGACTCACACTGTGACAGGTAGAACAGGACAGAGCCCAACATGCCACACCAGCTTGAAGTGCTTGGCCTGATTTTAAGCTGCAGTTGCCTGTAGCAAGGAAGTAGCAAGTGCCATCAACTAAAACCCCTCCCCTTCTGTGCTTGTAGCAATTTGCTCATGTAAAGAAACTAACAGATGGTCAGCTTACGATTATTCATTATGAAACAAGTAAAAAAAAGTTTATTGAAGCCATCTACAGCTCCTAGAGAGGAGCTGGCCATGTTAACAATTACTGCCACAGCACACATTACCTTTCTGATTTGCAATGTGTTTCGAAGCAACCCTTAAAGGACAGCTGGGACTTCTAGGCACATCCTACTTCTCTCTTTTAAATAGAAAACAGCACCTGGAGGTTTATGGTTCCTGTTCCACAGGAGGCACAAATTCTTTAGATCTAAAATGTGAAAGGGTGAGTTTAATTCCTTTTCTGTTTTGATCCAATGTAGCATGTACTAAAATACATCTCCTGAACACAGTAAGTGAAGCAGTTCAGGGCGGAGTTCTCCAAGTATGCTCACGCCTCCAAATTTATGGAAATCAGCAGAAGTTTGATTTTGGGTTCAGCTGGGCCACAGCTAACTATGTTCAGAAACCTAACTTCTGCTGCGTTGAATCTTGGTGTCATTGTAGGCTACTCCGAAACTGGAGTTACTTCAGGAGTTCCCTGATTCTTCAGAATGTTCTTTTCATCATCTACAACTTCATTTCGTGCTCATTCTTCAGATATAAAGGACAAAATCCTCAGGTCCAGGCTGCTTTTGGGTAACCGTAGAGCTAAAGGTTAAAACAAAGAAGATAGTAACTAATCCATGGGATCTAGAATTGTTCACATGCGCTACTTAACATGCAGATAACATGCTTGGGGAATGTAGAATATCTTTCAAGAAGTCATTAGTAATGTTTAAAAATTGATACTCCAGAGGTGTATATTCCCTTTCAGCTTTCTCTGGCTCTTGTAGCTACTGTCAAATAAGTGACAAAGACAAGTTACTTTGCACAGCCGCTCATGAAAAATATGATCTGCTAGGTATGTGGCTTAAGTAGATTTTAGAACCAGACAAAACATGGCAGAAGATGTGGCTGATAACATTTAGAATAACATGAGGCAGTAGCAATAAATCTACCTCACAAATTATTTAAAAATCCAGACCTAATGTATCAGCAAACAAGAAGAGCAGCTCTTAAGAGAGAGCTGCAGCCCTCTGCTAGAAATAGCACCAAGGGACAGAACAGGTCTGGTCTACTCTGGCACTGTGCAGCAACTAAGGTGCAGATTAGAAACAGTGAAAATTCTGTTTGCATGACGGCTGGCAGCCCTCCTGATGTGCCTCGGTGCTATGGGAGGTGTGTATCTGGGCACTGCTACCCACCCTGCTGCGGTATCCTCGCTCAGCCATGCGCTTGGCTTCTTGCTGCACCAACTCCTCGCAGCGCTGCCTGAGGGAGCGCTCCTCCTCCTCCTCCTCCCTCTGCCGCTCCTGCTCCTCTTGCTCTTGCAAGCGGCGTTCTGTCACCTGAGCAGAGGAAAGACGAGGGTGGTTACAGCTCACATACGTACAGAAAAGGCCAGGAACCTGTGCTTTGAGGCAGGACTGCAGCAAGGTTTTAACACAACGAGGTTTAGCAGACACACCAGTAGCACTGGCTCAGACAACAGGTTACAAGACAAAACCACGGGCTGTGCAGACACTTATCTGTCCACATGGGACTAGAAATGTCCTGAACTGACCTCTCAGAAGCCCAGTAATCCTCTGCAACAGTACCTTTCTGTGCATTTTCCAGAAGTAACATTTGTGTAAATACACTGCAGCAACACCTTCAACATTTGGGTACAACACATCTGAAAAAGCAAACGATACCTGAGCTTCCAATTCCTGTCTGCGGGCCGTCTGCAGTTCCTTCTCTTGCTCTTTCTCTCGCCTCGTCAGTTCTTTTGCCTCCTCAAGTTCTCTGATCAGTTGCTCCCGATACTTTACAGACTCTTCTTGGGCCCGTCTGTTTAACTCCATCTTCTCTTGGATCTGGCGCTGTCTGCCTGCAAGGACCTTTGTGAAGTGAGAGGATAAGTCAAGAAAGCAGCCAGACTTAAAAGCAGAACTGGGGAAATCTTGGTGTAGACAGTTAAACAGTTATCAGAAAATGTGTCAGACCAACAGAAAATCTCTCCCTCAAGTACTGAATGCTGTAACCCACTAGAGGGAACAACAGCTTTGTCAAACCAAGAGAGACACCGAATCAAAGAAAGGCATCACCTCATTCATCAGGCGATCTCTGGCCACCTTCTCTCTTTCCCATTCTTCTTCCCTCTTCTCCCAAACTTTTTTAGCTTCTTCTCTAAAGGCAAGGAGAAGAATTGTCTCTAAGTTTGCTACTTACAGTTAAATATTGCATACACACACACTCCCTGGGCATAGATGAGCTACCCTGTGCTTGAGAGGAGGGCTCAGTTTGCTTTTTGCATTTGTTCCCATGCCGCTAGCGTGTCCACCCCACCTGTGCCTATTCTGGAGAACCACTCTGACCTCCCTGCTACTGAAAAGCAGTAGCACAGTGAAGGAAATGCTGGCTTGGAGCAGGATTTCTTGGATGCTGAGGTCTGCCCCAAGAACAGAATGGCCTCAGCAAGGAAGCTTGCTTTGTAACAAGAGAATTACTGCACACGGGGGACAGTAGCGAGGACCATTGCTGGAACTGCTGACAATTGTGCAAATCTTTCCTCTGTGCCAAAACGTTTAACTAGAACTTGATGGTAGCATACAGTCCTGTCACCAGTAAAGATGCTCTCTAAGCTGAGGAGAGCCAAAGGTGAGTAACAAATAAGGGACCTGAGGGAAGTTGCATTTACAGGCTCTGAGACACAACAAGAAACAACACGCAGTTTTGGATTCACTTAGACTAAACCCCACCACATCGAAAACGCAGAATATTTAGAAGTATTTTATAGCCAGCTTTTAAGTTCTGTCTGCTAAAAGGTAATCCTTGCTTTCTCTGCGTTCCTACCTCTTTTGGTTCTTAGAACTGAGGTAACAATTTAGGGACTAGGTCTTGCCCTGTGGCAACTGAAAAACCACCACAGGCTCTGGCTCTGTCTTTGCAGAGAAGCTGCAGGCACTTCATGCTGACTGCCTAGCCACAGCATTTGGCACAAGGAATGAGGGGGAAGACCTCAGTTTTACTGCTGCACCTCCACAACAGCAAGGCCAGCTAGACACCTTCCTAATGTCCACATTTAAAAAACAGTAATGGAGCTTGCCAATCAGGCAAGAATATTCAGCACATGGTGGCTTTAGATGAAGTGCAGAGGTGCGTAAACTCACCGAAAAATAGTCTGGAGCTCCGCCTCCCTCTCCTTCTCTAGCTGGAGCTGTTCCTCAATGACACGTTTCATCCAGGCAACGTCTGCGACAGCCCGTTCTCGTCTCGCTGACTGGCGGCGCTGATCCTCATCTTCTTTCTCGAGGAGGGCTAACAAGATTTGTCTGTCTGTTTCCTTGAGAAAAGCCAAAAGAGTAACAACTGTCCAACAGCCTTCTATCCCGCGTGCAAAACAACTCTGTACCAAATTACTGGAGACACGGTGTTGAGGGTATGCTCAGATTCTCTATGATCTTTTTGTTCCAGCCCCATTCACAAGCCAGAAGGGGTTTCCTAACTACTTACCTGCAGGCATTAGAGGCAGACACAAATGAAACACAAAGGGTACAGTTCCTTCAACACACAGTCTCTATAAGGTATAAATCAAGGGGTATTTCCTCTTACCAGCTCCTCCTGTATCTGCTGGGCTCGTCTCTTTAACTGGGCATTACACTGATGCCTCAAAAAGCGGCTGAAGGAGGAAAAAAAAACACATTTAAACTCACTCTGAAGCCCTATTTTATTATATACCAGCACTCAGGAGGGTACATTTATGATGATAATATTTACAGGCAACAGAGGTACCTGCTACCTCTAACATGAACGAGAAGTAACAGCACCAATGCATTTACTTATTAGCTCTTCTAACAAAACCCAAACATCTACAACCCACCCCTGCTATTGGAAATACCTCCTTGTGCCGCCCCTACTGCCATGGAGATAGGAAAGGATTCTACCCATCCCTGCTGAAAGCTATGTTTGATCCCGTACCCAAGCTCGATCTTCTTCCGGTGCTCTTCCATTTGTTTCCTTTCTTCTTCTAAGTTTTCCAGCTCCCACCGTTGCTTTAATAAATTCTCTTGCTCTTTTTTCAGCTTTGTTGCCTAATATATGTGAAAAGGGAAAAAAAACACTAAGAGAGAGTACTTCAGAGAGCTAGGACATCCCAGAGAAAACATTTGAGTTTGTCCCATAGTCTTTGCTTTGCAAGCAAAACCATCATTGTGGTAAATATTCCACATTCATTTTCTGTGTCTTACTGGCTCACAGCACAAGAGACAGGGTGAGGAGCTTCAGCTGCCAAGGCCTCTGACCTGAACCTAGCATAGCACACTCAGAAGTTTCTACAAGTTTACAAGTGCTCACATTTCACTGAGGAGCAAATGAAGTCTACTGAGAGTTCAGTTAATATGCCAGTGTTCACAGGAGAGGTCTGCTTTACTGACAGAACAATAGCCACAGCTAGTTTGTTCCAGGTTTAATCCAGAAGAAACCTGGGGGTAAGAGGTCGGGTCAGTGCTGCTCTATTTCTAAGTAAAACCATGAACTTCCTTCTCAGATGAAAAGAGACTAAAGGTTACCTCTGTCTCCTGTAGTTTCAGTTCTTCTATCTGCTGCAACAATATCTCTGCTTGCTTCTTCTCTTCCAGCCGACGCTTCTCTTCCTCTTGTCTCATTCTCTCCAGAGCTTCCCTTCGTGCAATTTCATACTTGTTTTCATAGCGCTTTTTCTCTTCTCGTTCAGTTGCTTCTTGCTTATTGAGCCAAAACAAAGCACAGGTGGTTACAAATATGAGCAGATTACCTTATAAAGCTTTATTTTATTATTACTGCTGAAACCCGTATTTGAAGGCCTTTATTATGCTTTCATATTGAAATCACTACACTGCCATATCCAGGATTTGCATATTGCAGTATCCAATTCATGAAGTTTAGCTATGAATGCAAGGAGAACAACAAACGGCCAGATCCTACTCCTTCCACAACCTGCCTGCCAGCTCAGGTGCTCCAGGAGCCCGCCCTGAGCACCAGTGACCAGAAACCCCGCAGCATACCTGCTTTTTTTGCTTTAGCTGATCACCCCACGCCTCCACAACGTGCCTCCTGTGCAGCTCCGACTCCACCTGCAGACAGAGAGGTGGCATCGCCAGCAGTGCCAGCAGCACCCGGAGGGACCCTGGAGCACCTGGCCCAGCCCCTGCAGAGCTCCGGGTGTCCTCGGTGCCCACGGGTCCCGAGCTCAGCGTCCTGGGAAATGCTACAGCAAGACTGAAACCGGAGCTGTGGCTGCTGCAGCAGCACGGCAGCAGCACAAGGAACAGGGAAGCACTACAGACAGGGCACGCACAGCTCTGGAAAGCACCAAGGCTTTGTACAGACCCTGAAAACCTGCTCTCGGTGCCAGGCCGGATTGCTGACCCTCCGGCAGTTAGCCCTCGGGCCATTTCCCTTCCTTGCCTCCCACTCGCCAGCTCTCGGGGCTATCCCTGCGCTGTGACTCGTGCTGAGAGCCACCAGCAGACACTCGAGGCGCTTCCCGTTAAAACGGGGCTAAACCAGCCAGGACACGCAGAGGAGCGGCCTCACCTCCCGCAGCTCGGCGCTGTTCTGCCTCCAGTGCTCGTACAGCAGCCGCTCGGCGACCTGCGGGGGACGACACGGGGAGGAGGGACGGTGGCTGGGCGGCCCTGCCCGGCCCTGTCCCCCCCCCCCCGGCCCTGCCCTGCCCTGCCCGGCCCTCACCTCCCGGCCCCGCCGCTCCCGGGCTGCCCGCAGCGCCCCGCTCCGCTCCCGCAGCGCCTCGCCGGGCTCCCGCCTCAGCTCCCTCAGCTCAGGCCGCCAGCTCCTCGCGCTCCTCGGCCAGCAGCCGCCTCAGCCGCTCCCGCCGCCGCTCCAGCTCCTCCCGCCGGGCCTCCTGCGAGCTGCCGGGACACGGAGGGCGTCAGGGGGGGGGGAGGCGGGGGCACCGAGCGGCACCGGGCCCGCCCGGCCAGGCCCTGCCAGGCCCCGCCAGGCCTCACCCGGCCCTGCCCCGCCCGCACCTGGCCGGGAGGGCCCGCGGCTCGCTCCACCGAGCCTGCCTGGAGCTGTAGAGCTGCGGCCCGTGCGAAGCAGCGTTGGGCCCGCTCCCATTGCTGCCGGCCCCGCGCCTCCCGCTCCGCCGCACGGGCCCGGGCCTCCCGCAGCCACATCGCCCGCCGCCGGGCCGCGGCCTGTTTCCATGGCAACGCGGGGAGCAGCTACGGGTGCCGCCGAGGGTCAAAAAGCACCGAGGGCACGGGGCTTCGCGGGGAGGGAGGGGCGGGGTGTGCGGGCACCGCCTTTTCACGGCGCTGATTGGTGGGCGGGGAGGTGGGCGGGGCGTGAGGGGCGGTGGGCGGGGCTATGAGTGATGTGGGCGGGGCGTATGGGGAGGTGGGCGGGGCTTCCCGGGGCGGTGAATGGGGTTTGCCTTGCAGGTGGGCGTGGCTCCGGGGGCGGTGGGCGGGGCTTTGGGGGCGGTGGGCGTGGTTTCCCGGGGAGTGGGCGGGGCTTTGTGTGCCGGCCGGGCCGGGCCATGGCGCTGCTCCTGGAGCACGAGTTCCGGCCGCTGCCCCCCGACGGGCGGGTGGAGACGCTGCCCTTCCTCGAGGCCGTGGCGCACCTGCCGCCCTTCTTCGGTAAGGGACGGGAACCGGCACCGGGACGGGCACCGGGACGGGAACAGGGGCAGGAACCGGGGCAGGAACCGGCACCGGCACCGCCCCGGGACGCTGCCGCCGCCGGGCAGAGGGCGCCTGGGTCCGCCCCGGCTCCCACGGGGGTGCTGCTGGGTCCCGGTGCTGCCCCCCCCCGGTACTGCCCCCACCTCCCGGTACTACCTCCCCCGGTACTACCCCTCCGGTATTGCCCCTCGGTTCTGCCCCCCCGGTGCTGCCCTCCCGGTTCTTCCCTCCCGGTTCTGCCCCTCCCGATCCTACCCCCCCGGATCTGCCCCCCCGGTACTGCTCCCCCAGTACTACCCCTCCCAGTACTGCCCCTCGGTTCTGCTCCCCCCGGTTCTTCCCCCCCGGTTCAGCCCCCCCCGATCCCCCGGTAGCAGCCCCCGGCGGCGTTGCATCAGTGCCGGGCGTGGGACGGCGCCTTCCCATCCCTTCCCTTCCCTTCCCATCCCTTCCCGTCCCGTCCCGTCCCGTCCCGTCCCGTCCCGTCCCGCCCGACCTGCCCGACCCGCCGAGCAGCCCCGTTGGGGAACGGCTCCGGGCGGGGGCGTCGCGGGGGTGGCACCGACCGACGGCGGCGGGGCCGGGCCGAGGCGGAGCAGCAGGAGCAGGAGCACAATGCCCCGCTTTGTGCCCGCCCGTGCCCGGGGACAGCCGGGCACCACCGAGGGCCCTCGGGGTGGGCAGAGCCCCCCAGGCACCGGGAAGGATCTCGGGGTGCCCCCGGTACGGCCCCGGTGACCGCCGTCCCCTCCCGGTGTCCCCGCAGACTGCCTCGGGACGCCCATCGTGTACTCGCCCGTCAAGGCTGACCTGGCTGGAAACATCAAGGTAGGGGCACGGCGGGCTGCGGGCGGGGGTCCTTCATCCCCTGGGACCCTTCATCCCATAGGACCCTTCATCTCCTTGGGGTACCTTCATCCCCCTGGGGACTCTTCATCCCCTTAGGGTCCTTCATTCCCCATGGGAACCTTCATCCCCTAGGGACCCTCATCCCCTTGGGTTCCTTCATCCCCTTGGGGCTCTTTGTCCCCTAGGACCCTTCATCCCCTGGGACCCTTCATCCCCTTGGGGCTCTTCGTCCCTTGGGGCCCTTCATCCCCCCAGGACCCTTCTTCCCCCAGGACCCTTTAACCCCTGGGACTCTTCATCCCCCTCGGGAACCTTCATCCCCTAGGACCCTTCATCTCCTTGGGATCCTTCATCCCTTTGGGGCTCTTCGTCCACTAGGACCCTTTAACCCCTGGGACCCTTCATCCCCCTTGGGACCCTTCATCCCCTTGGGACCCTTCATCCCCTTGGGGCCCTTCATCACCCCATAGAAGCTCTCGGGCTCCCCCGCTGCCGCAGCATCCCCAGCACTTGCTGCGGGTGCCCCGTTTGCACCACCCCAGCCCCGCAGCCCCCAGCAGCCACCCCCATTTCTCTCCTTTTTCCCCCCCATCCCGCAGAAGATCCGGGCGGTTTACGACTCCGACCCCGCCAAGTTCCAGACGCTGCAGGACATCCTACAGGTGGAGAAGGAGCTGCACGGCTCGGCCTGGCCCAAGACGGGCGCCACGCTGGCGCTGATGTGGTTGAAGAGGTGACTCAGGGCGCCGCCGGTGCCTCTCCCCCAAAACCAGCCCCGTGGCTCCGGCTGCTCCCCGGGCTGGGTTTTAGGGAGTGCTGCTGGTTCTGACCCCATCGGGAGCTTTGCTGATGCCCTCCCATCCCCTGCAAGGCGGTGTTTGCGTTCCTATAAATCCCCGCTGGGCTCCGTGCCCCACTCCAAGGTTATGGGGTTTTGGGGGTCTGGGTGCCCCCATAGCGATGCCGGGGGCTGTCACCCCGCGTGGCAGTTCCCAAACCCCCCCCCGTCAGCCCCGCTGTCCTCGCAGGGGCCTGAAGTTCATGCTGGTGCTGCTGCAGAGCATCTCCGACGGCGAGCGGGACGAGGAGCACCCCAACCTCATCCGGGTGAACGCCCTGAAGGCTTACGAGGTCTCGCTGAAGAAATACCACGGCTGGATGCTGCAGAAGCTCTTCATGGTGAGCGGGACCACAGCTGCCCTGCCTGGAGCCCAAATCCCTGCCGCTCACCCCGAGCAGCTCGGTGCTTTAGGAGAAATAAGGCGGCGGCTGCGGATGTGCAGCCCCTTGATTTATTTTAGGGATTATTTCCAGGGAGCCCCCACTGGTGCTGGTGGGAGGCTGCTGCTGGGGGAATCGTCCCGGGCATATCCCAGCGAGGGGCTGACATGGGCTGGGGGGCTCGGGGGGCTCATTAGGGTGGTGTCCCCGCGGCCGGGGCAGGACTCCGTGTGCCCTCACCCCTTCCCTCCGTCCCGCAGGGCTCGGTCTACGCGCTGCCGTACAAGTCGGATCTGCTGAAGGCTTTAGAGAAGGGCAAAGACGTCAAGGAGGAGGAGAGCATCGAGAAGATCCATCAGTTCGTCTCCAGGGTCAGCCCCATCCTGGATGCCATCTACGAGATGTACGCGGCGATGAACGCCGAGCTCAGCTACAAAGCCTGACGCTGGCACGGGCCGGGGGCTGCTCCCGGCTGCCGGCCGCCTCTGATTCTGCTAGCCTGGTTTCTAAACAAATTAATTCATTTTCTATCGAGAATCTGGCAATAAACCAGGGGTACCCTGGCTCGGCTCAGGATTTCCCCAGCTTTTGTACTAAAGAAGCCAAACGAGCACGAGGTCCTCGTGCAGGGCGAGCGAGAGGAATGACGCGCGGCCGGCGGCAGCGTCCCAATGATGCGATTTTGGCTCTGCCCTCGCTCTCCGTGCGCCTCTGCCTCCTGGTCTGCACCTCTGCCTCCTCGCCTGGGCTGCTCTTGGACCTCGCAGCACCCAGGGCACAGCACCCAGGGCACAGCACCCCGTATGTATGATGCTGGCAGTGCCCATTGCGGAGGAGCCGGTGCCATCCCTGGGTGCCCCCCAGCCCCATGGGCAGTGGCACGAGAGCGAGACCCCCACCGGGGGCTGCAGCCCCCTCCAGGCGGTGTTTTTCGGAGCGCCGGGTGCCTTGGCATGGTGATGCCCGTCGGCAGCAGAACTCAATAAATCTCCTAAATCTTCGCTAACCTGGGTTTGGGAGGCTGTTTTGGGGCCGGCCCGGGGGCGGGTCTGGCTGCGGGCGGGTCCCGGGGCGCCCGCCCACGGCAGCGGGGCCGGGAGGGACCGGGACGGGACGGGAGGGACCGGGACGGAGCCGGAGGCGGCTGCGGGAGCGGCGCGGGACGGGACGGGACGGGACGGGCGGTACCGGGATGGGAACGGGGCTGGGGACGGGGCTGGGGACCGGGGAGCGGGGCTGGGGGCTGGGGGTAGCGGGCAGGGGGCTGGGGGTGCCGTGGGGTGGGGGGCTCGGGATGCTGCGGGCTCCAAACCCACCCGCACAGAGGCTCCGCAGCCCGGCTGGTGGCTGGGTGAGGGGCTCGGGGATGGTGTTTGGGGGGTCCGGGGGGGGTCTTTGGGGGCTCGGTGCCGGTGCTGGGCGCGCACCTGGGTGCGGGTGCGAGGGTTTGTGTTGGATGCGAGCGGCGGGGCCGTGCCCGGCAGGCACATCGCGCGATGCCAGGGGTTGAGTCATTTGCTCCGTGGGGTGAGGAAGGCTGAAAAAATTAAAAATAATAAAAAAAAAAGCCAAATAAGTAAACAAGGCAAAGAAAAGCCGATTGACAACACCTTTCCTGGCAGCGGCGGGGCCCAGGGGAGTGCCTGCGTTTGTAGGGCCGGTTGTGAGACCGTCACTTCCCAAGCAAAGCTTCCTCCCCAGCACGTGATGGCAGCCGCTCCATCACCCGCTTCTGCCTCTTGTCCCCCTGCCTCCAGCCCTGCCGTGGCCCCGGTGCCACTCGTCCCCCAACCCGTGACCTCAGCGGGGTCGTCCCCAGCCGATGGCCGTGGGATGGGACGCGCCGGCCTCGCTCCTTGATTTTTTTGTTGCCATGGGTTAAGCCAAACGAAAACCGATTCAAATCCCCGGGGAGAGGCGTGATCCCCGCAGGAAGCTGATTTCCATTCGCCTGCTGCCCGGGGTCACTCCGGGCCTGATGTCCTCGGGGAGCCCCCCCGTAAGGGCACCCAGCGCCGGGAGCTTTCACATCCCTCCTTCCCCTGGCTTTGCTTCTGCTCCCCCAGCTGCAGCAGGGGTGCTGCCCACCGGGAAGCCCCCACCAAGCCCCTATCTGCACCCCCCCGTGCCCCACCAGGGAGCAAAATTACATCCCGATAGTAAAATCCCCGTGGGTCATTGTTATTTCGTGCCCCTCCTTGCAGCGCTGGCGTCCCCCGGCTCTGCCCTGGCCTCTGGCTGGGTTTGGCAGCCCGAGCTATATTTGGGTTTTGCCCTCGCCGCTTTTCTCTCAAAGCTGTGCTTTTCCTGTGGTTTGGGCTGGGATTGCACAGCACAGCGGAGAGGGGTGGCTTGGGTGCTCCGTCCCCGTGCCGGAGGGGTTGGGTTTGCTGTGAATTTCCCTGCTCGGGTGTGCGAGAGCCGGGGTCACGGCGGCTTTGGCAGGTGCACGTGGAATTTCTTGCAGCCAGAGCAAGGAAGGAAAGGAGGAGAAATCGCACGGGTCCCATCACAAACCCCACATCTCCGGGGGCTGTGCCCCTGCTGCTGCCTCACGCAGGATTCGGGGCTGTGGGGTGATGGGGATGTTGTCCATGTCCCCCCCCTCCCCGTGCTGCTGCAGTTTTGGGGGCCATTTGCAGCCCCCGTCCCCTGCCCGCGTGGGGACGCGGCCGCCGCGGGTGGCGACACGCTGCCTAATTAGAAGCGCGTTATCCAGCAGCGATCTCCGGGAGGGCCAAGCCTGCCATTATGGCTTGTCGTACAGAGCTGCAGCCCAGCAGCAAATTATACCTTCCCCGGCTGCTTTTTCTGTCTCTGAACCCTGGGGCTGAGAGCGGGGGCTGAGCGCGCTCCTGGGAGGCAGAAACTGAACTAGGGCCGAGCATTTCTGCATTTTGTGGTGATTTGCATGGAAAGCGGGGCTGCTGGGGAGCCCCGGGGGTGTTTATCAGCAAGCAGGCAGGTGTGTGGCCGTGCCCGTAGCAGGGCTTTCTGCCAGCCTCCTTTCCCTCCACACAACCAAAACCCACCCCAAAACTCCTCACCCCAAACACCGCTCGCTCCCTCCACCAGCACCCCCAGGCTGCGTCCCCCTCGCCGTGCCGGGGTCCAGGTCACAGCCCCGGTTTGTGTGGCCACCACAGCCGGGCAGTGAGGTGTGGGGGGCCCGTTCCTGACCCCCCGTGGCTCCCCTCAGCCCCATCCTGGGGGCTCCCGGGGCTGGGCAGCACGCACAGGGCTCGTTCTGTGCCCCAGCCTGGGCTGCACCCAAGCTGACCGCAGCGGGGCCGGGCTCCAGGCAGCTGCGCTTTGAAGCCGGCAGCGCCGGAGCCGGTGGGGGCTGCGTGGACGCAAGGGGGTCCCCGCGGGTGGGTAGGTGGGCTGGGGGCTGCTGGGGGTCCTGCTGGCCCCAAACATTGCTGGGGTCGGGGTGGGATGCTGCTCCTGCCGTGGGATCTGGCAGCGGCTCGCCCAGGGCACGGTGCCCGTGGGAGAGGATGGGGCGGGAGGGGAAGTTTTTTGGGAATGACTCCGGGCTTCCCTCTGCCAGGTCTCCTGCTCTCGCCGAAGGACCGAGGAGCGCGGCCACCCAGGCAGCGAGCAGAGGTCCTGCTGAAAGGGGAGCATGGCAGACAGCGAGGAGCCCCGCGACGCCTGGGGGGGACGCCCCGGGGGACTGACTCCTTCCCTCTCTCCTCGCTGGCCAACCTGTTCGAGGTGGAGGACACCCCGTCCCCCGCCGAGGCATCCCGGACCCCCCCAGGTGCCGGGGACGGAAAGCAAAACCTGCGCATGAAATTCCACGGGGCCTTCCGGAAAGGTGCCCCGAAACCCATGGAGCTGCTGGAGGCCACCATCTACGAGTCGTCCGTGGTCCCTGCGCCCAAAAAGGCCCCCATGGATTCCCTCTTCGACTACGGCACCTACCGCCACCACCCCAGCGAGAACAAGCGCTGGCGCAGGAGGGTTGTGGAGTGAGTACGGGGACCCCCGAGCACCCCGGGGACACCCCTGCTGGTGGGGAGCAGGGGGCACCCTGGGTGTGGGTATGGGGGTGCAAGGGGGCTGGGGTCGGGGATGGGACCCCAGGGCTCCTAGAAGGGCATTTAGGGGTGCTTTGGGCAGGGAACTCGGGGTGCCAGGCTGCATGGTGGGGGTGCCTGGTGCCGTGCCGTGGGCTGCAGCCCCACGCTGCTATGGGGCCGGGACCGTGGCCCCCCTTCCCCTCCTGCCTGCGCCGTGAAAGAGGGCTCTGTGCTGCAGCCGCTCCCTGCCGGTGCGGGACGTCTGGCTCCCCTGGCATGAAAGGGCTTTTCAGGAGGGGCCTCCGCCCTCGGCCTGCGTCAGGAAACCGGAGCCGGGGCGGCCGCCTGCAGCCGGGCACACAATGCCCGTCTGTGCTGGGCACCTGGGTGCCGCACCCTGCCTGCCCCGCCGGCACCTCGAGGCCCTGGGCTGTGAGCAGGGCCCGAGGGGGAGCTCCCCAGGCCCGGAGACCCCTGACTGGGGCAGCCGCCGTCCCTCCTCCTGCAGGTTCCTGGAGCTGGATGAGTGTCCCCTGCTGCCACCGACATCCCTGGCTCAGCTCCGGTTGCTGGAGCCTATGATTTAGGGTGGGCAGAGCCCCCACCAGCCCCCCACTGGAGCCCCCCACTGCTCCCATGCTGCTCCCATGCCCATCCCCGCAGCTCTGAGCTTGGTGTGCGGGTGGGAAACTGAGGCACAGAGCAGGGAAATGGGGACACGGAGTGGGGAAATGGGGACACAGAGGGGGGAAATGGGGACACGGAGTGGGGAAATGGGGACACAGAGGGGGGAAATGGGGACACGGAGTGGGGAAATGGGGACACGGAGCGGGGGAAGCAGCTGCGGTGCTCAGTCCTGCTGCTTCTGTTGCAGGAAGACAGCGCCGGGCACCAAGGGGCCGGCTCCTGACCCACCCCCTGTCCTCAAGGTCTTCAACAGACCCATCCTCTTCGACATCGTCTCCCGAGGGTCCCCGGCCGGCCTGGACGGGCTCCTCTCCTTCCTGCTCACCCACAAGAAGCGCCTGACGGACGAGGAGTTTCGAGGTGAGCACCTCAGGGTGCTGGGGGTGCCACCGGGCGGTTCCTGTGTCCCTGTGGGGACAGCGCTGCCTGGCCCTGGCACCAAGAGGAGCCGGGGGTTTGGTCGGGGTCTGGGGCAGCCCCCACAGCATCCCCCACTCCCAGAGCCCTCGACGGGGAAGACCTGCCTGCCCAAGGCGCTGCTCAACCTGAGCGGGGGCAAGAACGACACCATCCCCGTCCTCCTCGACATCGCCGAAAAGACGGGCAACATGCGGGAGTTCATCAACTCGCCCTTCCGAGATGTCTACTACCGGGGTAGGGGGGCATGGGGGACTGTGACTGGGTCTAGGGGGACTACTGAGGGGACCCTGGCTGGGCATACGGGGGCTATGGGGAGGCTGAGGGACCCCAGGGAGGTTTGGGGACTGGAGCAGCAGGGGACATTGTGGAGGAGGATGGAAGACCCTGGGGAGGTTCAGCAACTGGAGTAGGGGGTCCCCAAGGAGTCTGGGGGTCCATGGGGGGTCTCGGGGTGAGGCCGCGGTGACGGGCGCCCACGGCACAGGTCAGACAGCCCTGCACATCGCCATCGAGCGCCGCTGCAAGCACTACGTGGAGCTGCTGGTGGAGAAGGGAGCCGACGTGCACGCCCAGGCCCGCGGCCGCTTCTTCCAGCCCAAGGACTGAGGGCGGCTACTTCTACTTCGGTGAGCTGGGGAGGGGGCTGGCGGCATCGGGCCGGGTTCTGTGGGGATGTCCCTGTAATGGGGAGCCCACCGCGTGCTGTCCCCGCAGGAGAGCTGCCCCTCTCGCTGGCCGCCTGCACCAACCAGCCCCACATCGTGCACTACCTGACGGAGAACGGGCACAAGCAGGCCGACCTGCGGCGCCAGGACTCCCGCGGCAACACCGTGCTGCACGCCCTGGTGGCCATCGCCGACAACACCCGCGA